TTCCTACAGAAAGATGATCTCAGGTTACAAGAAGAATCTCGGAAGACAATCGTTTAAGAAGAAAGCATCGTCCTTAAATGATGGAAGAAGTCTCCCATAAAAAAGAATTGTAATTAAATAATATTGATAATAGTAAAAACAGTAATATTATTTGTAAACATAAATCTCCTCCTTAAATTAATGCTAAGAAGAATTTTCTTAGTTATAACATTATTTTTCCTGTAGATAATTCTGATAGATGCGAGAAGCTCGGGATAAAAAGAAAATCTTTCGAGGAAAGAAATGCTCACAAATATCAAAATAAATATTAGTTAAGTGGAAATTATTTGTGATAAATACCAACGAAAACTCTTCATATTTTGCTAAGAATTTACAAATATTGAGTATTATCTATAGACAATCAAGCGTGATAACGAATAAACTTACTCATAAAAGAAATTTCAATTATAATTGCGCCTTGTATTATAGAAGATATCCGTTTAAAGATCTTAAGAAAAACTTTTCTAAGAGCTTTATTTCGGCATTCTTAATAAAAGTTTCTCCAATAAGAACTCGTAGCTACAGGCAGGAAATATCCTAACAACAAGAGTGTCTTTTACTACAGAATCCTTTTGGGAAAGTGAGTGAACCACGGTGCAGTGTACTTCCCAGCGCGTTAATTAACAGTATATATATATATATATCAATTTTATCCCCTGCTGTTTTGTAAAGGCGTTATATGTGGCATCTTATTATATAATAAGATAATTTCGAAGGCAAATTATCCATTGAAACCCGCTCTTCACGTGGTGCATTGATGTACAAATGGCGAAGAAGAGTCGGCTCTTCTTAAACGTGCCATTGTCACTCATTAGAAAAAGAACGGAGGCTGACAAAAAAAGGATTGTTTGTGGCTTCATTAACATAATCGTATCACACACACACTCAAAGGTTATTCACTTTAAAGTTGAAAAGACAGGAAATCTCTTGTTCTTTCACTGCTATCTACACAATGAAGTTCTTACCGTTTAAATCAATATCGATTTGATTTAATTACCCCCCGTTATTTATCACTTTTATGAAATAATTTGCGACTTGTCTAATTTAAAAAAAGTATATATATATATATTTCTAATATCAAATATATATTCTGGCAAATATTTACTGCAGGGAATTACTTTTTTACAATTTTTATTTTCGGAACACGTGACATTCTTAGCATACCCGGTTCACGTGGCTCGTCATTTCGGCGCCGCTTTCTGTGCAAAGAGGCGACGGTGACGTCACACAATCTGTCTTCCGTCCAAGTGGGCCACTCGAGATGTGTAAAAATGCATTCTTCAAGTGGTCAATCGATAATTCCGAGGAGACGAATTCTCGCCGATTCCTTTCCCTCTTCACCCCCCTCCTTTTCGAGGTGGTCCAAAACGGTCAAGGGATAAATTTACGTCATCATTATCGAATTATATATATATGTAATGCACTCTTCGAGATAAGAAATCCATTCCATCGATTTTTCAAGGTCGTTTCTTCGTTGATAAAAATATCGATTTTTGAATTTTTGCCTTCACGCAAAATGATATTGCAGAAACTAGAGTCGCCTGTGTGTTTTTGTAGTCGGTAACGGTCGCTGAAATTTCCACTATTAAGAGATTTAACTAATCTTGGATAAGTTCGGTGCAGGTGCAAGACTCGAATTTCTACTCCATCCCTAAAGAACTTGATCTGCATTTTTCTTTGGGGAAAAAATAACTCACCAATCTCTTAAACTCTTCGAAATGAATGGGGAGAGATTTTTCTAATATCCCCCGTGCAGATTATTTCTATGATAAATCATCTTGGCCTCATTTCAACTTAGCATTTTGTTATTGTAGTAAAGCTATCAAAACAGTCAAAAATTTTAACTTCTATATCAATTTACTCATCTAAAATTATAACGATAGGAAGATAAACGCTAAAATAGCATGTTAAAAAAGTGATATTTTTAATTTCACGCCCTTGGAAATTATGAAATTCGAGTGTTAGTTTTAATATAATTAGTATTAAACGTCATTTTTAGTTAGTGTTTAAAATGACAATTTTTTTCGGTTTTTTTGAATTCTGGACAGAATCCAAGACAAATGAGTAGACTGTCTGTCGTCAAAGGATAGGTCAAGAAGAAGAAAAAGTGCAGTGCGTTTTCTTTTATTCTAGGTCATCACTCGCCAACTGCACTCTTTCATGTTGTGACTGATAATAGCCATCCCTTTTGTCATGTAAACACTCTGTTATGTTCGTGCATCTTCTGACATCATCAACTTTCTTGCATGGTTGAAGAGTTTTCACCAACGGTATTCGAACACCATTAACATTTTAAAGAGAGGAGGTTAATGTACTAGCATACGTACTAAAGAAAATCTTGTTGTCCTTTGTTTAGTGTACACTGCACATAAAAATTCTGAGTTACCTCTTAGCTGCGGTTAATATAGAATTTTACAAGACTTGATAAGTTGCGTGTTCACGGAGGAAATCTAATTTGCAGCGATTTCAATGCATCTTTATATAATTTTAAATTGTACAAATTTACACTTTCTTTAATATGGCACACGTATTATTTAATGAGCAAAGACTTATGTTTAAATGCGTTTAGGGAAATTTTGAAATTTTCTCAAGGGATGCTGAAAAATGGATTCGAGAGGATGCCATAACTCAATATTAATCATTCTTATAACGAATTTTTGACTAATTAGGTTATAGACTATTACAAAATAAAGTAATTTGGCCGACTAATCAGCAAACACTTAATAATGGGCCTAAATTACGGAATGCGATGACACATACGAGTTGATGGTACAAGGTTGTGAGCATAAGATCCAAAAAAGCGTAACTCTGGCCGCTTGCCAGACCTTGAGGGTTGATTGCTGCTTGATTACATTGGTTTCCTTGGTTACAAGATCTTTTAGAGCCAAAAAGTCCAGACGGCACCTCCGGTAGTTACAATCGTTGTTTTATTTATAGGTCGAACAGTTTATATAGTTTTTTCTTTGATTCCCGACTTTGCGGATCAAAGTTCTCGAATCAACTGTCCTTGAGTGCAATAACCCGTTATTGTAATAACAAGCATTCGTTTATTATAGTGACTACAAGGCCCACTCTGACTAATTACAAGTATTTTTCTCCAACAGATGATTTGTTTACGAATGTTGCACTCATTTACGTCGAAATTTTTTTTGGTATAAGCACACATACTGCCTATCTGTATGAAGAAAATCGCCGCAGATAGATATTTATAGTGTTTAACACGCTTGCAAAACACAGATTTGTTTATTAATCTTAATATATTTACAGCTTGTAAGTTATAAATATTTATCCATAATATTCTAGAATGTATTTCTCTTGACCCTCTTTCAATTGAATTTGTCAAAAACCATTAAAGATTCAATCATTTTTTGTTTGTTTTTTTTTACAGGCACATTTTCTACTAGTAGATATAGGACTGAATATGCTAGACACTCGTCTTACTTAAAAGCTATTAGCATGAAAAAATATTTTTGTTTGCTACAATTTTCTTGACGTTTGGCCAACGTTACGATCCACTTTTTCATGTTTTTACGATCAGAACACACGAATATAAAAGGAGGTCATACTCGTAATTGAATTTTCGTAAGTTATTATAAGGTCTCATTGATCATATTTTTCCTTCCGATGGAGAATTCTTAGCAGAAAAAAAGGGATATATTTTGCGAAGAATTCTATGTTTTAAACACGGCTTTTCCTCCCACGCAAGTTCATCGATCGTAATTTTAGCTCCTAATGTAGCTTTAATTATCAATTGTAGTCCAAACTAGAATTTAATTGTCAATATTTTCTTAATTAAACTTTAAATTTTGTGAAATAAACCATTATTTTATTTTAAAAATTGATTTTAAAAAATTGTATTAGTTTAACTGCGTACAGATATATTTTACCTGTCATAATAAAACTTATCACGTGTTCTGTAGTAATAAAATTCTACCTGGCTTTATTCGATATTCTGTTGCTATAGCGACAAGCGAAAACAGAATCTAATACTAGAAAAATTTTGCTGGACATTTAATTATTATATCAATCGTTAATCGGTTAAAATAATTACTAAAAAGTTTTTCTAACAAAAATACTTTTAAATATATTCCAAATCTAACAAAAAATACAAATAAAATGGCATTTATTCCAAGCTAATCGACTTCTCTGTCGTTATTGGTCAATTTGAATTAATTTGAATTTAAAATGACCAATTATGGCTAGAGATTCCTCGAACGTTATTTCTCATACATGTCCTTGTTTTGGAATTATAATAAGGATTAATTTAATCGCGACTTATTTAGGAAATGTTTATTATTAATATAAATCTATTTATAAATATTTTCCTTTCGAGAATAAAAGAAATGATAGAACTTTTTTTTGGTTTCGAAAACGAAATTGTAACCGTCTCGTATGACGTTGCGAGTAACTATTGGTTAATTGGTTTGTGATTAAGTACGACGTGAACATTGCGGAAGTGACACGATTTCTGTCTAATTGACGTAATATCCGGTTGAATCATAACGATTTAACAATAATTGGATCGGTTTTTGTTTAGGAAATAACTGTTTAAGTTTTTTAAATGAATCAGCATTATGAAGATGCGCTCATAATTATTTGTATTATGTCATACGAGTTAGTTAGTGATCCTTAATTTTTAAACAAGTTAAATTTACATTAAAAGCTATTTTTAAACCGTAAAGCCAACTTTATTACGGCTATTCTCGGTATTTTTAATACATATTTACACTTAGAAAATTCATATTTGAAGTACTAAAGAGAGGATTTTGTAAGAAGAATCTGAAGAATTATGGTCACTGCTTTAGTAGCCATTAAAAATTACATATAACAGTTGCGGAAATAATTTTAATTTCGGTAGCAGCGATAGTTTCTAGGTGTGAAACAGGATGTCATTTCTGAAAGGAAGTGACATCACACATTAATAAATATCCTTTTAACGTAGGACGTGTTTTCTCTTTCAGGTTGTGGCAACGAAATTAACAGATGAAAGTTTTCGGTCGTATAGATTGGGAGTCTTGACAGCTCGCTTGGAAATAACAGAAAATGGGTTCCACCTTCGGTTGTCAGCACTTGCAGATCAACAATCTCTGGTCGGTTTGGTACTGCACCATGGCGTTGGCCTTTCAGATTTACATCATCGTTATCAGTATACGCCATTTCACGGACTATATATCACTCCCTTGGCCCATTCACGATCAACCTTACTTCGAACTTAACGCTTACGTTGGATTTATCGGAGCGGCCGTGGTCATGCTGCCTTTCTTCGTAGTGGCCGCTCTTCTTAAGATCGGTAATTATGCCAACGATGGCTACAAACTGGGTGGTGCCGATCACCTGCAATCGGCGGTCTATCAGAACCTAAAAAGGAAAAAGTGCTCGCATTGGTTGAGGACAATCTGGAGACACGGTGGACCCACCGCACCCTTTTTGCATCTGGCAGCTGCTTTTTGCCTTTTGTTACCCAGGTTATTGATTCATGCTCAATTAATTAAACATGGATTCGTGGCTAAAGGTCAGTTCCAGATTTTTCTATTTTAATTTAATTGTTTTTTTTAATAGTGCAATTGTATAGGGTTGTCCATAAACGACGTCCACACTGGAAAGGAGGGAGTTGGTGATGACAAGTAAGACAGAGTTGGACAAGGAGAAGGGAGGGGTTGAACTTCAATGGACATCCATTTTATTTCATTAAATTTTATAAGTTTATACGTTTAATTATTCATAAAATGATAAATTTTTTGAAGAGGGTTGAGTTTTTTTGGACTTCCAATGAGGAGAGGGGTTACAGAAACTTGGACAAACTGGGACAATGGGAGAGGGGGGAGTAAAAATATCAGGAAAAATGCGGACGTTATTTATAAATAGCCCTTAACTTACACGTCTTCTGAATACTATGAGTAAAAATTCCGATTTAAATTACACTTTTTTTTACCTCTGTAGATGAATATATTAGCGCTTTACTCTTTCAAACAGAAACTTTTCTGTAGATAATTACTTTTTTCCTATTTATATATAATCTTATTATCGCAATATTTGATTGAAGCGAAGTGGTAAAGTGAAATAAAGCAAATAAGACTAATTGAATAACGTCGGATGCTATTCACGACATTATCGACGAGAATGGAAAGATTAAAAGCGAACAACTATCATTTTCTTATAATCCGGTTAATAATAAAGCAGGGTATTCGTTTAACTCGTATTTAAAACTGGAGTTTTATTAAAGACAAACTTATCTTAAGATGATTAAGGAGAGGGCCACTTCATTATCGAACGACTTTACTACAGGTGAAAGGATGAAAGTCGTAAAATTGCTCTCCCGAGACCTCGTAAACTTGATAATACTGTTGCTTTTCGTCTCGATAAATAAACTAAAAGCGATTTCAAATTTGGATTCCTAAACACCAGCGATAAGCTACCTTTAACATGTGCATTGGGGAGTTCAGACAGCACTTTGGATCACTTTATTCCTGTATTAAGCCGTTCTCTTTAGGTAAACTAGTAAAAAAACTTAGCTGTTTTTATATATATATAAGTCTAACTTAATTATACAATACGCAGCTGGAGAATGTTGATTTGTTTTCTTTACGATAATATATTTTTCTCTCGTACGAGTCTTTTAGTAGGTCGTTGACTTGTGTAAATCCAGACGTTTTGAGGATTTTCAAACTCTCTTAAGAATATTTGCAAGTCTAGGAACACGAAACAACCATTTTGAGGTTTAAATGACTTATTTGTAAACGTCAATCACCAGCAGTTAAATTTAAGCATCATTAATCGTTCTCTTCAGTGCAAATGTTCAGTCAGCTGTTAGCAATTGAGTTAAGCTTCAACCATTCTTATCTATTTTTAGGAAAATAGATTCTTTCACTAAATTTGTAATATCGATTTGTTTACTTTCCCTTCTGACATGTGCACGTTTTAAAAGAAAGACAAGAGAAATTAATAACGTTTGAAAACTTGATCCGGGCAATTGCATTCTTGTATCTTCTGGGAGTTTTATTTAATATATTTTTTATTATATATATATAAAATACTACTTTAAAGATGTAAAGTTAAGCAGAATTTTGTTATAAGNCTCAACCACTTCAACCACTTTTAATCTAAAGGAGCTCTTTAAGGATAAAACATTCCCTTCTTTTTTTTTCGATCTTTAATTACTTACCGAGCCTAATTTTTGATTCGAAATTGATAAGAAAGTAGTTTTATGAATCGAGTACACTGTGTTTTCTTGCATTTACATGATTTTTTTCCTGATTAAATATTGTAATTTAATGCTAGGAATTTCTTTTTTTCTCGATGGTTTCTGCCACAAACAAGTACAGAGGCCATTGAGATTTTTGATCAAAGTGGATTTACTTTAATAAATTAAGGGTTTTAAATACAAAATAAACTTGCTGGATTATCTTAAAAATCTGATAATTCGGTTATAATTGATCCTATGAAGTTCGAACACTTGAAGAACAACTCAGGATGAAGAGGATCATTTCTTCTTCATTGTTATCGTTAAATTTCAATAGAATATCGATATTATCAGAAAGAATATCTTAAAGATTATCTTTAGAAAAAAATCTAGAATATTTTTCACCGATAATCTTCATCAAAATCTTCAATAATTTAAATATTCTTCATCATTTAGTAACTATTTCGTGTCGATGCTCTTCGATATAAAGAAGAGAATCCCGTTTAAAAAATTTGTAAATGTAATTTTAATAAATTCTAAACCTTATAAAAATTTTAAGATTAAAGAATTTAATAATTAAGTAGGATAATATGTAATAATTTAAGTTGTAGATGAGGTTTAACTGATAGGCAATTAGAACGAAAGGTTAGTAGCTGGAGGGTAAATTTTATTTAAGAGTTCAAAGGGAAATGAACAGGATATTATCGAGATGCAAAAATGGAGTAGGAAATTTGAAAGACTTCCAATATGAAACATTTAGGAAGATAATTAAAAGTTGTTAGTTGCCCTCGAGTCGTGTTTACAATTAAAGATAATTAAGCAGAGAAACATTGAGTCATGTTTATTAACCAAGTGGTTATAACGTTAATATCGATAATTTAATTTAAAAAAATATATATTAATAATATATATTCAATCTTTTTCTATATTAAAAAAATCTGTAGGATCCTATATTAAAGTTCTAAAAATATATTTTTATCCGGTTTTTATCAGGGCTCGAATTTCGTTCGACTGGCAAAAATCCAAGTTAAAGATCCTTTTAACAGGAATTAAACTAGGGAAAAAACTTTTTTTTAAGGTTAATGGAAGGGCAGAAGGGTTAAAAACATAACAAAAATGAAAAGTTAAGTCGAAGGATTTAATGAGAATTTCGAGTTTTAAAAGTACTTTTTGAAGTGTATAGTTGAGAAGTTTTTAAAAATCGAAAGAAGAAAGTTCGTCTTGAAAATAAATACTTTTAAAAATATAAAAATAATAATAATTATTATAATTACNTACTACTTTAAAGATGTAAAGTTAAGCAGAATTTTGTTATAAGGGATTTATAGAATTTTAAAATTTAAATATCTACTCCATCAAATTTAGAGTTGACTTTAAAGGAAAGGAAATGGTCTCTTTCAAGGTATTTATTCAATAGAGAAAACAAGTTTCTTGAGGGGGAAAAAAAGATTTTCGTCTGCTGCTAACTGAAGATAAATAAATAGGCAATTGGCAGTTTCGATGACCTCATCTAGAATATAGGACTTATAAATATGGGCATTGATGAAGGAAATCTATTTTGGCCGTTGTACACACGCTAGGAAAAAAAAAGGAGAAAGATTCACATATGCTATTTATGAAGAGATAAAATATTTCTGGACTAAACAAACACTTCGGGCATTAAGTAGTAACGAAGTAAGGAATAAATAAACGAACACTCCTCTCTAATCGTGATTAATTTTCTTAGAAGTCTCGGATGAGAAGGTCTTCTTCACTGCTCCATTATTACTTAACTCTTGAGAGAATTTTAGCGGCATTTTTATTTATTAACCTTAATGCTTACTGTTTCTAGAACAGTTCGGTCGGTTGGACTTTTATCTAGCGGAGAGATCATGTTTTTAGGTTCGCGAGATGACTGCAAATATGACTTCCAAATGTTTGGCATCGTTAGCAGAGGAAGTGGACCATCTGTGTCCACCCAGGATCGTGTTTTGGTTTGGGAGGAGGATGATAGTTGATACAGCTGCGATTGAGAGCGGGCGTATCTCAACGCGGGTCTCTCTTTTTTGTCGACACCACGTGTACAAAATGGAGATGGCTGTCGGCGCAAGAATAGAACATTCTGTCAATCGCTATTGATTTGAATGGAGGAAACCTCAATGCGACTTTTGCATGACGCAAAACTATCAATAGTGCTTCAAACTATTTTTCCTGCACGGGGGAATTCCCGACGTGGAGGGGGAGAAATTGCTTGCAATTTAATAGGTTTCGTGTGAATACCGTGTGAACCTACAATTTAAAGAAATCACGCACTCGACTGTTGATAGCGCTTCTTTAAAATTGGGAAGAAGAGCATTTCGAAAAGATATTTTAACACACTTTTACGTATAATGCGCATTAAAATCTATTACAAGTTATAGACTGTGCTTATTCGTCACGTTTTAATTGAATCGGATATATTTAACTTCATACTTTACCATTAATTCTTTTTATCGCATTCCTCGGAAGTGAGAAAAAGCAATTTTTTTTTTAAAAATAGAAAATAAAAATGGAGACAGGTTTTGTAATTAGTTGCATCGCTTTATTTTAAGTGTAATCTAGAGAAGTTAGTAAAAATAGATAAGCAGTAACGGTGATATTAGTGGTAGTTGACAATATTAGAGTCAGGCGAATAATTAAGGCATCGATTTTCTCTCAATTCCTGCTAATTATCTGAAATGAGACACTTCACTCTATCTGTTATGTGAGTGCTTCGATTTAGACTTAGATGATCGCCAGTTTAATATATTTTTCATTAGTTGTTACACTACCAGAATTCAGGAATTTCTACCACATGCTTGTATAGGGTGGAGGAAAGCATCCACTGTAGGAAGAAAAAAAAATACTGTATATATCTTCCGACCAGTTTTTTAAACACGGAAAAAAAAACACTTAGTACGTTCACCCCGCGAAGAGTTTCGTTGAAAAAAGTCATGTGATCCGTTTCGTGACGTGAATAAATTCTTATAATTACTGATACGGAATTAAATCGAGTTTAATTACCGACGTTAAAAATTGAGGAAACGGTTTCGTTCCGTAAACGATGCTAAAAATCTATGCGCTTTCATTGTCAAATAAATTCCCATTCCTAAAAAAAGGGGAGGTGGAGAAGTCTTTCAACGAATTCAACTTCAAGGGGGGGGGGGGTTGGAAGAAAAAATAGAATGCATCGCTGCATTAAAGAGGGCGCAAACATATGACCCATTTCGTGACAAAATCCACCATTTTGCATTCGTACCGGGAATTGACGTGCCGATTAAAATGCGTACGAGATAATTTAAGAGATTTGCTCCTCCTCTAAATTATCGAGGCAG